GGAAGGAAGGAAGGAAGGAAGGAAGGAAGGAAGGAAGGAAGGAAGGAAGGAAGGAAGGAAAACATTTTTAAAAGTCTTCCCCAATGGGATGGATAAGCCAATGGTTGCCCAACGGTTGTGTGAACTTGACTCCTCACCAGAAACGGGATGGAAAACAAGTCAGGGTCCTTTAAACCGGCCTACCTGGGCGAGAAGCTGTTGGGCGAGAAGTTGAGCCGGGGACTGCGGCCGGAGAGGGTCCGCTTGGAACGGGGATTCTCTGGGGTGGTGATGACCCGTTTCTGAGCAGACTGGAAAATAGGGGAAAAAATCTTTGTTTTTCTTCTTCTCTTGCTTACTTCTATATTTTCCTTCCTTCCTCTTCCATTCCCTTTGTTCCTTTCTTTTTTCTTCTCGCAAAATGCTTCCCTTCCTCTCTAGCTCACCAGCTAAATAATACGACACAAAAGGAAGCCGGAGAAAAGAAGGAAAGAGAGAGAGAAAGAAAAAAAGGAGGAAGAAAAGATGGAAACGGAAAGGAGGAAAGAAATAAAAGAAGAATGGGGAAGTAAGTAGGCGAATGGAAAGAAAGAAGGGAATGGCAGGGAAAGGAAGGAAGGGAAAGGAGGGAGGGAGGGAAAGGGAGGTTGGAAGCCCACCGTATCTATTTCTCTAAAATTCTAAATACAAATAATGAACAGCAGAAAAGAAATGATTTTTCAAGCAGCGCTGATCAAGCCACCTCGCTTTCCCCATGCCGGTTAAATGTTTGCTGAATCTTACTTTCTGGAACAGGCTGCAAGAGACACCCAGAAGAAACTTTGTCACACCCAGAGGCCTTTTCCAGGAGGGCTCACCTTCGCTGCAATCATTAGAATAGAGCCTCCAGTCTGAGAGGCAGTCTATCCCGAGATTTCAGCCACAAAAGTAGGTTTTGTGTCATTCTTGGGCCCTCGTCCCCAACAAGGATCTCCTTCCACAAGTCACCACCCTGAAGGAGATACGTGACTCATCCATTACCCGCTTACCTTTGAAGGTGATGCGTAGGTATCCAGCAAGTCCTCTTCCTCCTCGTCAACCTCCATGCTGCGAAGAGTTAAGACTCAACCACTAAATATAAGTTGCTCTCTAAAAATCACACCAAGCTACAAGCTCCGCTTCAATCGAGCCAGGGTGGATGGACAAAATTGACGTTTTCATTACATCAAAACTAAGTGAGTAGGGAGTCGGACTAGATGACCTTCGAGGGTCCCTTCCAACTTGTTATTCTATGCTCTAAATCAACGGTCACTTCTTCTCCTTGTACAGGTTGTCCTCGACTTATAACCACTCATTGAGTGGCTGTCCGAAGTTATAACAGCACTGAAAAAAGGTGGCTTATGATCATTTTTCACACTTACGACCATTTCACACTTATGACCGCTAAGATCTCCAGGGTCACGTGATCAAAATTCAGGTGCTCGGCAACTGACTCGCATTCATGACGGCTGCATTCCCCAGGGTCATGGGATCCCCTTATGACCTTCTGACAAGCAAAGCCAATGAAGGAGGCAGATTCACTTAACAACTATAGCAAGGAAAGGTCGTAAAATGGGGCAAAATTCACTTAACAACCATCTTGCTTAATCCTAGGAATGTTGGGCTCCGTTTGTGGTCGTAAGTTGAGGACTCCCTTATTGTCTGATCACTAGGGACCACGGCCATGTTCTCCCATCTTTAGAGAGGATACGAGTCTTGAACGGAGCCGATATCCCCCGTGTTGGACCAGCGACCATCCTTTTTTCTGGAGGGCTTTGTTATCTTCCTGCTCAGCAGCTAAAAGGAAAAAAGAAACGCCAAAAAAAATTGTGGTTGTGTTGGCTGGTTGGTTGTTCCAATATTCTGGGAATATCTTTCCTTTTACGTACACTGAGAGCATTTGCACCAAGACAAATTCCTTGTGTGTCCAATCACACTTGGCCAATAAAGATTTATATTCTGTATTATATTCCCTATTATATTCCCTATTCTATACCCTATTCTATACCCTATTCTATAGTCTATTCTATTCTATTCTATTCTATTCTATTCTATTCTATTAACAGATTTAGCCATACGAAAAGTATTGGAATGTGCTGAAATAGATAAGCTCACATTGGAAATGAAAGACAAGGAGGATTCCGAATATTATGCAACCTGGGATAAATGGTATGAGTGGCTAAAAAATAGATATAAAGATTAGAAAGAAGGATTATAGTAAATAACACAAGAGACCTTAAGATTATTAATGTAGATGTGTATACAATAATGCATATAGGATATATGTATTTGTCAATGCCAAAACGCTGTCACGAATTTAAGTAAGATTTGTATTTTTGAAAACTGTAATAAAAACAATTTAAAAAAAACACAAACATGCTGGCTGGGGAATTCTGGGAGTTGCAATCTAGGCACTTTGAAGTTGTTACGGTCTTAATAGCTAGCCTTATTATAGTTTAGCTTTATTATAATAGAAAAGACCAGTTTAGCTTTATTACCATGGAAAAGTTTAGCTTTATTATAATGGAAAAGATTCTTCTTATCAGTATCATTTTTTTTTTACAATTAGAATAGAATTTTATAGGCTGTAAACTTCCTATCAAGGAAGAGATTAGAAAAGATAAAGTTGACGAAAATGCAACATAGGTGCAAATACAGGTAGTTCTTGATTTACAACCGTTTGTTGAGTGACCAAATTAACATAAATTGGGGGCTCAATTATGGTCATAAGTCAAGGACACCCTGTAATTGCTAGAAATGAGGCCAAGCCTCTAACCTCATGTTCGAAGGTAAGTACGTTTTCCAGAGTCAACAGAAGGGCTTCCTTGCGCATAGCAAAAGCGACCAGCTCGTTTCCTAACTCCGACTTCGATACCCATCCCGTCATGCAGATTTCTTCTACTGTAAGAGAGTAAATAACAAGGAAATGGTCTTTTTTTAAGCCAGCAGGCCTTAGAAAGAGATAGTGCCACTCCTGTGTCCCTCCCCAAGGGGGGGGGGGGGAGGGAGAAGGGAGGAGGAGGAAGAGGAAGAGAAAGATAAATTGTGTACACGGAAAAGATTCAAGGTGCTGGATTCGTAGAGCCAAATTCTAATCGTACCTGAATTTATTAATAAATTACATCTAAATTTGATATATCAACAAATCCATAAAACGGGATAATAACGGGACTGTAGTTTCAGGATTTGGGGTTGGTTTCTCTGTTTGGGCTCACAGTTTTCTGTGGCTGTTTTCATTTCACTGTTCTATTTTTGTGTTATTCCTTGCCCCCAATCCTTGGAAACCAGCCTAGTATGCAAGCCTAATAAATCACCAATCAATACAACAATCCCAGTTATTGGTTAACCAGCTTCGTCTTACCACCCTTGCCAGCTGCTTAAGTTGCAATGCGTTCTTTTGTGCAAAAGTCAGTAAGGGGGAGTGAATTCAGAGTTGAAGTGTGTTGGGGCAAACCCGAGATAGGATTTGGGGTTCCCGCAAAGAGAGAGGGTGTGTGTGTGTGTGTGTTAAGTGTGCCGCACTTCAAAACAAACCCTGAATTGAACAAAGTGAACTTCAGTGATCAAGGCAGACAGCCTTGATCGCTCATCCAAAATCTGGCTCCCGCTTATGGCCGTCGTGAAACCTCCACATTCAGTGGCAGTCTACCTTGGACTAACAGTTTCTCATGGATTGACTGGCCGTCCCACCTTCTTTTGTTGCTTATTACAAGTAATGTAAGGCTACGTAAAAAGAGGTAATTTATAGGCTTAAACCACGCCCCCAATTCCAACATTTCATGAGGTCTAGCGCCCGGTTTTCCACATTGCCCTTTTATCTCCTTTTTCCCCCCTTTGCTTTTTTGTCCTCACATTTCTCGGCAATGGCGTCCTGGTCTTCCCCCTCCGCGAAATCCAGCCCGAAGACCTTGAGGTCGGCCACCACAGCATCCATAATCCCCGGCCCCATCATCGCTTCCTTTTCGCGCCACTACAGGAAAAATTCCCGAAAGAAAAAAAGGGGGGCGGAGAAAAAAAAAACTCGCGCGCGTCCATTCGACTATTTACGGCACCGCCCCGCGCTCTGCTACCAATCAGAGAAAAGTGGGCGGCCGCCACGCCCGTTCCGGCTTCGGCTTATGCGCGGGCGCCTGCCGGCCGAACCTGAAAGGGAGCCGGGGGGGAGTGAGGTTTTGTTCCTAGAGCGGCCAAGTATGTATGTGTCGAATGGGAGATTCAGGGAGTGAGAGAGAGTTGTTCCTAGAGCGGCGAGAATTTTTCTTTCCATTGCGTCTTTCAAAACGTTTGCAAGACATCGGTGCTATGCAGAGCTCTTCGTCGGACAGGATTGTCAATAAAGGAGAAGAAAGTGTGACTGAGCGTTATCTTTTGAAGAATAAAAGCACAAAAACTTTTTGCAGCATACCTGACCCATAAAAACTATGAAAATATCTAGGGAATTATTATAATCCCCACACTTTTATGTATAATTCAAGAATGGTCATATTTAATGCACTCAAATAAGAGGCCACAGCACGAATGTGGGCAGGGTAAGAGGCTCAGAAAGGAACCTCCCCTAATTTCTTGGGCTGTAAAGAAAAAGGTGATGACACATATATTTCCAGATTTGCAAGATTCTTTTAATGTGGCTGCACAATAAAATCAAATTACATGTGGTGTTTCTTCTTTGGTCTACCTCGCAGGGTGGACATGCAACCAACTTTTTTCTAGGCTGGTTGTGAATGAGACACAACTTTCTAACTCAAGTGGGGTTAGCAGAGTTATTAAGCCTATAGGATTTTTCCTTTTTAAAGTGATGAGTGTGTATGTTTTGTAGGGGGAATTTTTTGCACGCATTTTAAGAACAATACTTTTAAAGTGTAAGCTGCCCAAAACACTTTGGAGTTGAGTGCCCTCTAAATTCAATAAAAAGGATAAGAGAAAGGAATCCAGCATGCTTATGAAAGGCAGATGGTTAAAACCTTAGTAATTATGGGGCATTGGTTATTGAATCCGTGCAAACATGCTGTGGAATTTAGTTACATTAGGATTGCTGCAACGGTCGCAAATGTGAAAAATGATGTCACTTTTTTCAGTGCTGTTGTACACCAAATGGTTGTAAATCGAGAACTACCTGTATAGCAGAGATAGGATTATAATCTGCATGGAAATGATAGAAACTAATCTCATTGCTGCTCCAGTGGCAAATTTCAGGGCATCATGAGAATATTTCTAATAAAATATTTTTTGAAATACCCATTGTGAGGTGGCAGCTCAAAAAGACCGCCAGGATTCAAAGTTGATCCAAGGAAAAAAGGCTTTATTGAATACACATCTGCAGATGGGTTTCACCCTTGGCAGCTGGGAGGAACATAAAACATAGTTTTAGCTCTACTCTTATGCCCTAAAACTACCCCCGCCCCATTATGCAAATGGCTTAGTTTACAATCTACCTTTCAGGATACAAGTTACAATTTATTACCTTATGGTACCTAGCTCACAGCAGGCACTTCCCTAATTGGTATCTGGCATTTCAAAGACATCCTAAGATGGTCAATATTTTTAATTGGTGCCTGGCACTTCCTTACTTCAAAGGCATTTCTTTCAACATGAGTTTTGAGTAATAAAAAATGGATACTTTAATTTAACACTTCTCACAATCCCCACTTTTCTTGTTCCATCCTTGACTCAAACTCAGTTAATAACAAGTCTGCTGTTTCCCATAGTTGTTTCTCGGGAGGTTCTTCCAGGTGCCCCAATGGGTCATATTGTTGTCTTAACACCATCATTTGTACTGTGTCAATTCTATCTTTTATAAAACTAATTAATTTGTTTAAGATACATGGACCAAAGGTGAGGATTAATAATAACAAAATTAAAGGTCCTATTAAAGTGGAGATTAGGGTAGTTATCCAGGGGGATGTATTGAAGAGAGATTCAAACCACCCTCGATGGTCATCCCTTTCTCTTTTTCTTTGGTTCAGTCCTTCCCTCAGTTTTTTCATGGAGTATCTGAATGGGAATCGAGTACAACCCAGGTAACATTCTGGGGTTGATGTGAATTCTCGCTTCCCCAGGAAGTTCCCAGTCCTAGTCCTAGAATAAAGACAATTAGCTCAGTCCAGGGTTCAGACTTCTTCATCTTTTCAAAGTGAGCTTCAGCGGCTGACCGTCCACTGGAACTGCCCTCCAAGGTCTTTCAGGTTCCAGTGCCCTTTTGACTCTGCTGTGATGCGTCCAGCCTCCTTCCCGAGTGCAAACGGCAGATTCAGTTATCAGCAGCACCTGGTATGGGCCTTCCCAGCTAGGTTGCAGCTTTTCACTTTTCCAAGTCTTTATCAGAACCCAATCTCCAGTCTCAAAGGGATGTTGGCTACCAGCAAGAGGTGGTCGTTGCACCAATAGCCCCTGTTTATGGAGAGAAAGCAAAGACCTGGACAGTGCCTGCAAATATTTTCAGGAATTGGCAATTCCCCGTTCGCCCTTTCCACTTTCCCACTGGATTTCCAACCCCACTTCTCTGGTAATTCAGTGAAATCAATCTGTGCTTTCTGGAAAGGCCAGCTCGCTAGGGGCCACCCTCCCATTTCTTTCTTCCTTGCTGCTTTCTTGTTTACTTTCAAACATATCAAGCATTTCCAGCAGATGCTCTGGGCTAGTGTCCACATTTTAGGACTCCAAAAAATGTGGCTTCACAGCTGTCACCAGGGCCTCTGTTTCCCAATGTCCTCCCTCATGTATGCTGCTCTAACCTCTTTCTCTTTTTCCCCAGTCAACAACAAGTCATCCACATACTGAATCAACATGATCCCTTTCCCTTTTTCAAAAGACACTAACTTTTCTTCCAAAGCCTGTCCAAACAACAAAGGTCCCTGGGGGAGTACTGTCCACCTTAACTGCTGTTTTCTCCCACTCTCAGGATCTTCCCATTCAAACGCAAACAGGTCTCTGTTGCAATGAGGAGGCAGTCAAGGTGTTTGATCATGATCACATGAATCATGATGACTTTATTGGAGTCTAGTCTTGTATTTATACACATTTTTAGTAATCCTCTAACATTGGTTAACTTTGGTTGTTGCTCAACCTTTGTTACTGTCTAGCATAGCAACTAACACAATTAATTATCTCTACTTAAAGTCTAACACATGTTTACTTCCTCTCTCTAATCCTTCTTTGCATTTAGTGATTTTGTTTACCTGAGTTGTATTTGCTTTTGTCCTTATCTGAGGTTTGCCATCAAGATAAGGACTTTCCTGCAATTACAACTCCACAGGTCTCTACTTCCCTCCTCAAGGGGCCATGCCCAGAAGGCATCCTTCAGATCTATCACAGTAAACCATTTGTCTTTGGGAGGGATTCGTCCCAAGATGGTATAGGGATCGGTTTCAACCCTTCCCTACCTCTCTTACTCAGGGAATATTGTGGAGTCCACAGTTTAGTTATCCCTGGTTGTATCTTGATTTGAATGGGCTGTATTGCCATCCTACTAACTCCTTCACTTCCTTCCTGCCCACACATCTGATGATATCTTCTCCTCATCTTCCGTTGTTAACATATACATGCGAACTTCCTTCTTTCTATCCCACAATTCTATTCCAAAAACATCCAGCAAGTCTCTTCCTAGCAAGTTCACCCCTGAATCCGGAATATACAATATCTCAGTTTCAGTCACTACATCATTCAATTCCAGTCTAATTTGTTCAAACACACTCACATCCTGTAACTTTCCACTCACCCCAACTACTTTGATCACTTTTCTTGATCTGTGTGCGCCTTCTACCGGGTCACACAAAGAAGTCCGGCTTGCGCCGGTGTCTATCAGGAACAGCCGCTCCTGATGGTTAGGACCCACTAAAATGTTTACCAGTGGCTCCCCGCAGGTCCCTTTTGGGGAGCCAGAACAGCCCTAATCGTCATACAATGCATAACTCCGCTCTTCCCGGTTGGTCGGACACTCGCGCGCAAAGTGACCTTCCTTCCCACACCTGAAGCAACTCCTATCCATTCTGGGCTGTCTCATTCCCCTGCCTCTTCCTCTAAAGCCTCTTCCTCGACCTCGAAAACCTCCCTGATTGTATCCCTCAAAATTCTCTCTTCTTTCTCCAATTGGACACTTCCCAAAATTCCCACCTTTCTTCACCTCATTTTTCGCTGCAGCCTGTATAGCTGCAACCATCATTCGTGACTTCTGTTTGGTTTTCACGGTGTCTCTGTTCACAAAAACTTGTTGGGCTGCTTTCAGGAGATCAACAATTCCCACAGCCCCCCAATTATCCATTTTCTGAATTTTCTTTTGGATATCTGGCCAGGCTCCAGTCACAAACTGCATTTTCAGCACGGCTTCAAAAGCAGGTGTGCTAGGGTCTACTCCCGAGTACTTAACTAGGCTTTCCCAGAGTCTGGTACAATAATCTCCAGGGGATTCATCTTTGCCTTGGTTTAAATTTTTCCCTTGTGGGACTGCCAATTTTATCCCCTCCATGATCATTGCTCTCATATTCCTCATATCATCCCTACCTCCTGGAGTGTTTGGATCCCAATCGGGGACAGCTATAGGGAATTTCTGATCTGCCGGTACAGCCCTTGCCTGACCCTGATGTCTTACATCCCAGGCTTTCATTGCAGAGGTCCGAATAAGATTCCGCTCCTCAGGAGTAAACAGATGCCCCAAAATGTACATCAACTCCTGATAAGTGTAATCATTCGGCCCCAACCATAACTCTAACTGTTCGGCCACCTCATGAGCATTCTCATGAAGTTTTGGAAGAGTCCTCTTCAATTCTCGCAACTCGGCGGGTTTTATGGGGACAGCCACAAAGACTGTTACTGGGTTGCCTGCAGCATTGATCCCATTAGGTACCTCCCTAAGGGGAAATGCATCCACTTCAGGTTTTTGGCTGAAGGGAAAATTTTGAACATCTCTTCTCAACTGTTCCACTTCTTTTCTCAGCTGCGGATAAGGCAGCGGCTGAGGAGGGGGTTGTGCCACCGGCAATGACGGGGCCGCTGGAACATTGGCTGGTACATTATTCAAGTTAGGATTTGAGGGTGGCGGACTCTGGAGCCAATCATCCATCTCACTTTCATTGCCCTTCTGTTGAGACATGTATTGACCCTCGATTGGAGGGAC